CATCGCCTTTATTGACTTAACAATGTTACCTGTTAAAATAGGATAATATTCAAGTGTTGGTTTGCAGGAATTTCATCATGAGTGGTATGAACTGGCCGGTGTATCGGCGGGTCCCATGAGTTTAATGGTCAATGAGCTTTCTTTGCACCCAGAAGGTGTACTGGTTGATTGGAACCCTGATGCTGGGTGCATACTGCCGTAAGGAAGTTCCAAAATAGGTGGATGAAGCAGCCAGCTGTCCACCACTCCCCAGTGGTTGTTTTTCAATTGTTCTCTAACCATTATCAGCTCATGATGAAATCCTGTAAACACACAGTTATTGTCTGTTGTTGAGTTCTGCTGATACTACCCATTTACCAAAGTTGAGGCAGGCTAACAGGGATTCGAACATGGAAGCTAATGAAATTACTGTGGTCTTCCCACATGACCTTGTGAAAAAGTGACGACATATTGGCATTACGAGTACCATGAATGGCTTCATACTTATCACCGCCGATGTCAACAGTTCGCTCACTGGGGCCATCAGTAGACCTTTTATGCAGCTAAAGACCCAGACTTGTCATATTATCTGTAGTCACTGAATATGTGAAACGGACTTCAAATAGTCCATGGTATTCAGGTGAAAATGGAGAAGGGTCAAATCAGTAAGATGCAGCATGGAGAGCCCGGAGTCATCTCCGTCATCTGAAGATCAGGCTTAAATAATCATGATTCATATGAGACTCCAGAGACAGCCACGTCACAGATAATAATGATAATTTGCTTTATTCTGAAGCAGCACTTGTGATACAGCGTGGAATTCGCCGTATTTTGTACAATGTTGCATCTAATTTACTCAATAGCAGCAACAAAAACAGAAAAAATACTTTACAGGGTACACTCAACCGAAATTGATAACCTCCCTCAACCTATCGGAATAACAGAAACACTAGGGTCAAAATGTACAAATGCATTGCGATTAGGACTCTCGCCTACCATGCACATGGTCTGGAGTTCGATCCCGGCCAACGCACACCCGATATCAATCGTCGGCCCGCTAAATTTGGGGTACCGATATCACAAGCTGAAAATTCCATACTTTCATCAAAAATACTGTGTGGAGTCAAGCTATAATCAAAAAATAAATATAATAATATTAGTATTAGTGACACAAAATGATAAGATTATGGGGATAGTGAGTGTCACCACAAAATTACAGATATAGAAGAATAATTGAGCCATTTTTTCAGATGCTAATTATAGAGTAAGTCGTAAGTTATACGTTTAACATTATCTTCGTCAAATAGAGCGCAGGCAGGCGGGTGGGACGAAATGGGTATCCATGAGTTTTTATACTTGGTGGTGTTAGGGAGCTTAGAATCTTTTATAATGACTTCTAGTCCTACGTGATGAGATGCAGCAAGGGGAGAGTTGTGAACAGAGAGGGTGTTGAGAGTCAGACAATATAGAGCTAGATCATTTTTCACATTAGCTTTTGACGTGTCTGTCGTCTGTGATGGTAACGAGGTGACTGAGTGGTGGCAAACAACTTACCCTACCGACAACCTTCAATACCATTCGCAATAGTAACGCAACTATGATTTATATAAACAATTTTTGATCAGGTGAAAACACCGGTAGGCATCGATGAAATATGAAGTTGTATTTTGAGAAGTTGTATGTAAGTGTGACAACTGATATTAGGACATTACATTACGTAAAAAAAAATGACAGCATTTTCGTTTCATTTTTCCCATCTACTAATGTAGAATAATTAGTAGTATCTAATGATTCTAGAGATGATTTCATTTCATCAAATGGAGACGGTCATTAGTTGTTTGGGGTCTGTTGGGGCTGAATAGTCAATTAGCTCGCCGTTGTCATCTGAAGATCGCGGATCTTAATCCTTGTTAGTTGTTCACTACTAGAGAGCTCTAGAGTGGGAGGAAACTTCGGTGTGTAGTGTGGTGCCTACTGGTTTCCAGTGATTCTGCCTGTCACTGATATCATCAGTTCATGACACGAAATCCACGTACGGTTCCGAATGGAATATATACGGTTTCAACAGCATTTCTTTGTTGCGTCCTCTTCTAAGCAGACCTTTCTTATCTGGTTGGTTCCAAGGCTATCTAAAGGCTCTCATCTTCTCCTCTTCACTACACCATCTCCTTCATGTCATCCTCACACCAAAGCCCAACTCATCGTTCCTCACTCGGCTTCCAGTCTGCCAATGGCCTGGTGTGTGAAGTCATTCCATGGTATCCTCGGTGTGTGTCCGATCGATTACCATTTTCCTTGGGATATTTGTTGAGAAATAGGGTGTTAATTGTTTATTTGCATAGTTTCTTGCTGCGAATTCTTTCTCGCTAGACATTCTGTCATCTGACCTTCAATACAGAGCCAGCGAAGCAGACAGCTGTTGATAAAATCCCTGCCACAGTAGGCCTGTTGGAAATGCTTTTCGTGACGTGCTGGACAAATTTATGACCGACAGAGAAGCACTGACTGACTGACTGACTGACTGACTTCATACTTGCGTTGAACAGAATCCGAATCTCCTTCTTTATGCTGGATGAGTGCAGAAAATTTCCAGACTAATTTCATACGTTCGGCGCCTGTATTTGAAAAGATGCTTCCTAACTGGATAAGTGAATAGAGAAACCTCTTCCAAATTTCTCCTGTCTCTAGCTCACATAGTAAGCTACTATGAATAATAGATACCCTGAAGGTATAGTGTGGAAGAGAAGTCAAGGACAAGGTGTGTGAAGTTGGTGCTCATCAAATGCCGTATTATAGTAATGTATATCACATCTAACTGACAGAAGTTAGAATTCATCAGTGGGTCACTGAATTCCCAGTTAAACAGTCTTGCAATTTTCAACGACCTTCGCCTCACAACCTAAAGGTCCTAGATTTGATCTTTGGCTAGGGTGTGCACTTCTGACGAGGAGTCTCAAATTAGGGGATGAACTGATGTTACTGGCTCATGACATGGAATCTACACATTGAAATGAATTCAAATCTCTCACTACTTGACGTCTCCTACTCCAGTTCCACTATTAGGGGGCCTGCAGGTGAGATCATCTCACTCAGTAGTCTCCTTGGCGCAGATATGTCGGACGACCCATCCACATCTGTGTTTCCTCCAGCGATATTCTGCAGAATGACGGATTACTGGTTGATTTGTTCCCCATAGAAACCCCTTGTTGCCTGCTTTATCGTTCCGCAAAGCCGGCGTATCATATCTGATCTTCAGGTATTACTGAAATTTCCTAACATGTAAAACAGGTTTAAACCAGCTTTTATGACAAAAGTTTCAACGAATTGGAACACACATGGCCCAAACGTGTTATATATATATAAGGATTTATAGGCAGTAGCCAGATCAACTTTGTCACCTGTCTCTGTGATGTGCCTCGCAAAAGGTAGTAGGTAGATTACGCCGGACTTCTCTTTCCCTGGGGTGGATTTTATCCATTGATTTTATTTTTTCATGCAGTTGCTTTTGAAATGTGTCAGAATCATCCCTTACCTGCACAAATCTATGTCTTCTGTCCAGTGTGTGTGTGTGACCACATATGACTAGCTGTTTTCAGCATGGAACCACCTTGCGCAGAAGTGTAACACTGATTCGGCTTCCCATGCTCCATATGTACTATACAAAAGTAGACAAATAACAGAACAAAAGAGACTAGAAAGAACAATAATAAGTAAAAATGTGTGCGAGAAACAAGAGTTACATGACAAAACTTGTCAGGGTTTTAATGGATATAGGAGATCACAAGGAATGAATACGATTTTGAGCTATACCACCTACCAATTGTCTCCAGCCGTCACTGGTTCTTAGAATCCTAAGAACCCCAGCCAGCCACACAGTCTACACCTGGCTACGTGGCTGGCTGGTTGACTCAAACGAACTGTCAGAGACTTCATGGAATGATTCCACATTTGGTTTGACCACCACTAGATAACTCTTTTCCACCCTGTCAGCGACTGACATTTCCAGTCTAAGAAGGCAATGGCTAGGCCGAGACATCTCAGCCGATGCAAATACTTCACAACCTCATTGTGTTTGGCTTCCCCTTCTTAACCAAGATTCTATGCCTAACTTCAGCATTACTCACTGTATTATACTCATACACACCTACGATCAAAGACAGTTAGCCGGCATTTTCATTTCTCCCACTTTCAATGGCATTCATATCTCCCTCACAACAGGAGTAGAGAATGGGGCGAACTACTGCTACTGCTGCTATTAATGTACAGTACACATATGTCGTTTGATGGAAAACCAGCCAGCCGGATATCTATAACTCTCTACGCCAGAGAGATGGAGTAAGGCCAACCGCATATACATATGAATTTCGTTAACACACATAGTATAGCATCGTTTTCAGGTGATTATTAGTGCCAACTGGCTACAAGCAGAGTGTTTTCTAGTGAGAAATCGTGACCACTATGGGGTGCACCAACTTATCAGGAGTGAGGCAATATACTCGCTAAAATCATCACGAATTGATAGAAGTTAGAATTCATGGACTGAACATTGATGCAGAAGAGTCCCAGCCGGCGAATGATCTCTACGAGTTTGGCTTGCAACCGGAAGGTCCTAGACCTGAACTCCTGTGGTGGTTAGTGCATATTGCGGATGATTTCCAAACTAGGCATGTGAATCAGATGAAGTACAGTACAGTACAGTACCCCTGGTTTTCAATGGTTCTCTAACGGAAAGTCTTTGTTCAGCTAGTGTTGATCAGATATATTTGGTGATCACTCTTGATGAACGGTAAAAAGGGATATATATAAGCCATTCATTTGGAACAGCTGATTAGATTCCTATGTGAATCTATCTGTTTAACACTTCTGTATTGTCTAATATATATCCAGGGGATACTGTGTTATATAACATTATTTTAGGGATATTCTTCAAAACGTATCTCTCCTGTGTTATATATATATGCTGAAGATTTCTCAACAAGCATACAGCTAACGCCTCGTTTTTTTAAACAAAAATTCTCCAGGTTATTTCGAACATGAGAATACCAAGAGGAATAATAATAATAATAGCATCGCTAGTCGCCATGGCAACAATATCAATACAAATTCTATTAACACCTTAATATCTGATAATTATCCTAGTGATTTAAATGATTCATCATTACGATTGAACAAAACGTTTGGTGGTGACGATAGCATTCCAGAGATATTGACGTCTACATCAATGGGTACAACAAGAACAGATCAACTTATCAGTTCTCCACGTCGTTCATCATCTTCCCTTGCAAGATATCGACATCGAAATGAGGAGAAGACGTCGTCGTCGACTTCCGCTACTGCTCCAACCTCTACACCAGGAATCAACGGCTGTCACACTATTCAGTGGAACATTCTGAATACCACTCTGATACTCTACCGCAATATTATTACATGCCAACTTTATTCAGTTCGGAGAGTAAATCGTCATCGCTGAGCAAAGAAAGTGGTGGTAGGAAGATATTGGTAAGTTGTCAGAGTTTTTATATGTTCAAAGTTGTATTATGAACTTTTCATCAGATTTTACAGCTACTATTATTATTAATATTCCCCTAGGGCTTCAATAGCTGGAGCACATCTCCACTTTGTTCTCTGTCCTGCTGTTCTCTGTAGATGGCTTGCTAGCTCAAAGATTGTCCATAATCTCTCATCTCCTCCGTATCACCGTTGGACACACACCCCACCCTCTTCCATTCCATTCAAGCTCCACTCCAGCGATAGCCTGGCTAGCGTGTGATGTTATTCGGCGGTCTTCTAATCAGTCGGCATCCGATCCATATCCATTTTCACTTATATATTTATTAAGCGATAGGTTCCATGTTAGTTTGCTGATAATTCTTTCTCACTGACCGGCCATATGACCTTCGATATGGAGTCAGCGAAGTAGTAGTAGTTGTTGTTGTTGTTGTTGTTGTTGATAAAAGCCTGACACAGTAGGCCTGCTCGAAATGCTTGTCACAACTCAGTGGCCACGTTTCTCACCATTAGAGAAGTACTGACTGACTGACTGACTGACTGACTGACCGACTGACTGACTTCACATTTGTGTTGTGCACAATCAGAATCTCCTTCCATATGCTGAGGTGGTGTGCAGTAAAAAGATTTCCAAACCGATTTCAGATTGATGTAGGTCTGTCTTGCCTTTCCGATTCTGGCTAGTTTCGACATATTCACCCATATTCACTCCATAGTGTGGAATTAGTTTCTTAATAGCTTCGTGGTGAACGCTGTCTGTTGAAGGCCTATTCAAACTAGTCCAGGAAATTGAGGTAGAAGAAAATACTGACTGCCTATCTAGGCACCCTTTGTTCCATGATGTTGATATGTAGAGTTGGAATATAACCAGAATATGATTTGACTTTCTTAAATCCAGTCAACTTGTTCTGCGTTGGCGGAGTTCTGCTTCCAGTGCATCGTTTACGCCCTCCAGGATGACGCAACCTAGTATTTTATTTGGCTTGGACAAGAGCATTATTCCGCTCCAGTCAGTTCTTTCAGAGGCTTAATTCGCTCACCTAACAGATATGCCAAAGGAAATTCAGGTGGATGATTTCAATAAATGAGTGGAAGAGACCAATGACAGAATCAAGTGGTGACAGCCAGACCACTGAAGTGGAAGTTGGATGGATGGAAAACAGCGAGCTGGTCGTTGATTCGAGGGTTGTGGTGGTGATATAAAGGAGATCTTGTGGGGAGTGGAAGTGAATGAAGACTTCTGAGCAAGTGTGTGTGTGTGTATCTGTCCTCGCACATACACACACATACCCTACTTTGGTAGGCCTTCCTTATCAGTCACGCAGTTTCTCACTAGAAATAACTCCAGCCAAATACCTTCATCCTGTAATGGTCTTCCTTTGCAAATGCTCCGTTATAATAATGCAAAAACACCCACATGTATCTTGACTGTGTCTTCTGTAAATTCAGTTAACTCAGTCGATCGTGGGTTTTTCATATCTGAAGAGGCAATAATCTCAAATCAATATTCAATGTCTTTGTTATTAATACTTTTTTAATTTGAATTTTAAATGTATTCTCTAGACCTAGATCATTTGTATTTGCTGATACATCCTCTCACCTTATTCTGTTTTACCCTATCGATAATAACTGGAATGTTTAAAAAAATTGAAAAAATACAATCAATATAGGGCGAATACTGTACTAACCCATATTGATCGATTCATTTCATTATTAATCGATAAATTTAATTAAATAAGGTCACGCAAAGGATAGTGGATGAATCACGTCGTGCAGGGTCTGAACAAAAGACAGAGGACGAAATTTAGATATTCTATAATAATAACAACAATAATAATAATGTCACTCCTAATGAAATATTCAATCAATAATTTAAACGATTGGAAGGGGAGAAAGAAAGGGAAGTAGCGTCACTAGATATGTGTGTGTGTGTGTGTGTAGGTCGGTGGTTGGGTGGTAGTGGTGGTGGGAGACGGGATGAGTAGGAAGGTGTGAGTATGGGGACAACAAAAACGTGACTACGGGAAGTGATGACACGCTTAATTTTCCTTTAGCAAAGTTCATTTTTCTGTAAACAGGCAGTTGACTCAAATAAAGCCTTTCGAAGACAGATATCATGAGATGACGCCATCAATTCATAGTTTCTCTACAATCGCTTTACAACTAGCAGCGTGGTTGGCGCTCATGGGATAAATTGTATGAACAATTACTCAGATACAGGACTGATCACAGGTTGACGTCGATTAGATAACAATTGGAAACCAGCCAGTGACGAGCTAGTACTGGACAGCTAACTGTTTCGTCAGCCTAGTATACCACTTTCCTTCAGCAGTAAACACCCACCACAGAGAGTCGAACCAACCAGAACATTCCGGTTATACTAGGCGTGTTCGTAGACTGTTCAGCCACTGGGATTTGACTCAAAGGTCAGCAGATGAATTCTAACTTCCACCAATTCGTGATTTTATTATAGCGATAGAAGTAGGACGAAATAGTACTCCCTACGGTTTTCACGTTAGCTGCATAGAAAATAAAAACAGTTAATTCAATTGTGTGTTTTTTCTAACAAAGAAATGTGATCACTAATCAATATATTCAGTGTCCTCATTATTACTACTTTTGAATTTGAATTTTAAATTTATTCACTAGGCCTAGGTCATTCGCTTTCGCTAATATTCATCTTTTTTTTTAATTATACTGTCTTATCCAATCGATAATAAATGGAATATTTAAAAAAAAAAAGCCGAACAAATAGAACCATCAATAACCCATATCGATGACTAATCGATTCATTATTAATAAATAAATTCAATTGATTTTCTATAGTCGGTTTTTAAGGATTAGTTTTGTTTCTTTACAAGCCGTTGAATCTGGTCCCAGTGGCTGAATGGTATACAAACTTGCCTTGTAACCGGAAGGTGCTGGTTTTCAACCCGTGTGGTGGATGCGTACTGCCAATGATTCCCAAACTAGGAAGGAACAGCAGCTGTCCAGTACTCCCTGGTTTTCAATGGTTCTCTAACTGATATCAATCCGTGATCAACCCGTAAAACATAACTAATCCTTACAAACCAAACTATAGAAAGTTAATCTGATGCTCGCTAGTGACTTGCTACAGGTTGGAGTTTCCTGAGTTCTAGTGAGAAGTCGTGACCAGTGAGGTCCAATTAGATGTCACGTGTGTGGATGGATGTCCCACCAACGACAATGGTTGGGGTCGCGCTAAATCACGAATTAGTAGAGGTTGGAATTCACGAGCCATTGAATCGGGTCCCAGTGGCTGAATGGTATACGAGCTGGCCTTGTAACCGGAACGTCCCGGGTTCGAATCCCAGTCGGTGCGTACTCCCGATGATTCCCAAACTAGGATGAAACAGCAGCTGTCCAGTACTCCCTGGTTTTCAATGGTTCTCTAACTGATATCAATCCGTGATCAACCCGTAAAACATAACTAATCCTTACAAACCAAACTATAGAAAGTTAATCTGATGCTCGCTAGTGACTTGCTACAGGTTCGAGTTTCCTGAGTTCTAGTGAGAAGTCGTGACCAGTGAGGTCCAATTAGATGTCACGTGTGTGGATGGATGTCCCACCAACGACAATGGTTGGGGTCGCGCTAAATCACGAATTAGTAGAGGTTGGAATTCACGAGCCATTGAATCGGGTCCCAGTGGCTGAATGGTATACAAACTTGCCTTGTAACCGGAAGGTGCTGGTTTACCGGCAGGTTTGTATCAATCCCTGATCAACTGGTAAAAAAATTCAATCAAATAAATAAGGTCATGAGAACAATGGTGGATGAATCATGTCACAAGTGAAACAGAGGACAAAGGACAAAACATTCAAATACTCGATAGTAATAATAATAATAATAATAATGTCATTCCTGATTAGGTATTCAGTGAATAATTTAAAACAGGGTGAGGAGAATGGACAGTGGTATGGAGAGACAGTAAACGCCGACACGTGTGTGTGTGTGTGTAGGTTTGGGTGCAACGGAGGGTAGACGAGGAGATGACTGGAAGGGTGTTGAATGTATCAAAGAAACGAAGGTGGGATGTGTACAGGAAACGATGATACCTTTGTTTTTGATGAGCAAAAAGGTGCATTGCTCGCCTACAGCTACTAATATAAAGTGGGGGGTGGAGTGAGGTGTATGGTTCGGTGGACAAATGATGATTAATGGTTTCCCAATAAGCAAGGCAGAGAAGGAAATAATGAACAGTTGTTCCATATGTCCAAACCAAGTTCACTTTTAACGGTTTGAAAAAAATTTGGGCATTGGGTTAAATGATATTCATTATAATAATAAAGGTGCTTTTTGTATTTCTCAATGAATGAAAAACTAAACGATATTGTTGTTTTGCTGACGTTTCGCTTTTTTTAATGCTGCTGCTAACAGCCCTATCAAAGTATTATTAAACAAGAATTTACAAAATCTCAGTTTGTATATAAAAACATAGTCATCCTTCATCAGCATGAGATGATTTTTCGCAATATTTGTCGGAGATGTATATCGTATCACATTCCAAGCAGGCATTTTATTTTGTAGACACAATTAGATAGAGAATGTTTAGGGATTTAGTCTTTTATATGGACAAGGTTACTTCTCAGTCGACCTGATATCAGAAGAGTACTCAAATAAGCTCGACATTGAAGTTTTCTTCAAAACATCAGACACATTACAAAGCAATCTTGTCCGTTTAAAAGACAAATCCCTAAAGATTCTCTATCTAATTGTGTCTACAAAATAAAATGCTTGGAATGTGATACGATCTACATCGGACAGACATCTGTATAGAAATCAAAATGAGAAGAAATGAACACCATGAAGTCGCATCTGTTCGATCAACCGAGAAATCCAGTTGAACTAGAAAGGCTTGAAAAATCATTAACCATAGCCTGTCTACACGCTATAGAATCGAGCCACAAAATTGATTTTGGGCTATATTGAAATAATCCAGAAAAAAACATTTCAGAAATCACAAATA